CAGATAACAAAAAAGTCAGTATTTTGGTCACACTGTGATCTGTAAATAGAGTCTTTTAATATACCAAAAAAATTATTGATCTAAATATGACTTTTGTAGAGACAAATGAACAATTGTTATTATCAAGTTAAACTGGACACACTTTAAAGCATTGAGAACAGCAGGTATTTTATTGTCTTGATGCTTTAAAACTCCTTTCATCTTTGACCCGTATAATTATCACTATCCAGATTCTCCATTTTCGACATAAATCTTCAATTTGCATATGAATAATACAGTTAAATATCCGACTTAAACCCAGCATCTGCTAGAACACTCAGGATGCAGAAGTTGGCTTTGTAAATTAGGAAGAATGTAAATATTTATGTGTTCATTGTAGAAGTGTTTAATATCAGCTCCGCTGCGCTGGCAGACACACGGCGCTCTCTGGTATTAATGATAGTGTGATAATAATTTACATTCAAAGCTGAAGAGTCTTAAATCAACCCAAAAATACATTGGTTTTCTAATTGCTCAAAATAGTTGAGAGGAAACCTGCAGACTTGATTTGGAGAATATTTACAGGTGAAGACGACATTATAATCTCTCCTAAAATAAAATCGAGGCTTTAAAATATTTCCCAAGTGCTGTTTGGTGAGTTTAATAGTTTTAATAAATTATTTCAGAAAAATTAAATTCTTTGGTCTTTAAAGTGGTGCAGTGCATAATACTTTACTAGTCATTTTGCAGGATACACTGCACAAAATGCTTTTGTTTTTATCTTATTTAATATATACTTAGAGAAAATCACCTAATGAAATAAGTTAGTTTAACTCAAAGTTACTTTGACTTAATAAAGAAAAAGAGTTATGGTTACCCATAAACTGGTAATGTTAAGCAAAACTCAAACCAAATGAGTTATGAATGAACAAATTTAATTTTTTACTCTAATGCTTTAAATTAATTAAATGTATTTATTCAAGTTATGTCTATAGCGTACAACAAAATAATATTTGAACAAGATTACAAAGAAGTACATTTAAAATGAAGGTTCTTTATTGACATTAATGGTTAAAAACTAATAACTCTATGGAAAAGTTCATATCTGTATGATGGACAATAAATAGGAATGCATGTTTGTAGTGTATTCAACTTAAAGTGCAACTTAAAGCTTTGATTAAGTTTAATTAGGTTAACTAATTAATTAGACAAATTGAATAATCAGAAAACACAAGTGGGTTTATAATACTGACCTAAAAAAATATATATATATAAATATTTATATTTATGTTTAAAACGGCCAAACTGAAAATAATAACACTTTCCCCAGAGATAAAAACATAATAAAAATACTGTGAAAACTCCACTGATCACTTAAACATCAATTCTGCAGCTAATAATTTTGCTTATATTGTGTATCAATACTGCCACCTAGTGTTAAAAACCCCAAACACTCACATTTGATCAACACTTCTGTCTTGTTTCTCGTCTAAAATATCATTAAACTCTTACATCAAGAAACAGTTAAGTAAAACATGTAGTCTTGTTTTCAGAAATAATGTGTCAAAATGAAATGAGTTTCTCCTTAAAACAAGTGAAATAATCTGACAATGGGGAATTACGTCAAAAGGAAAAAGCTGGATTATTTTAATTAGCCCATTAGCAGATTATTTTGCTTGTTTTAGGGATGATCTCACTTAATTTTGACTCATTTCTGAACACAACACTGTATTTTTGTTTGCCTTTAGGAAATGCTTTTTGATTGAAGTATTTGTAGATTTTTGGACGAGAAACAAGACAATAAAAGCACATGTTTGCAGTATAAGATCTCTCACAGCATGTAAATATAGTGTGTTTGTGTTCTTCTGGAGGTCTCGGGCTCTGTGCTGGATGATCTGATCTACAAACGCAGTGAATATCAGGAGAACTGCACTCGATTCCTCACAGCCACTCTCCCTGCTGGAACTGGTGAGGCAAAACAGACACAAATGCTTTTCTTACTTAGAGTTTGTCTTGTTTACAGTACACATATCTACAAACTCTTAAATTAAAAAGCATTTTCAACAAATATAGTCTCATTTTCAGAAATAATGAGTCGGAATGAAGAGAGTTTATCATTAAAACAAGCAGAATAATCTGACACTGGGTGAGGAAATTACCTTATTTCAATGCAAAACAAGATTGTTTTACTCACCCCATTGGCAGATTAATCATCTTGTTTTAAAATCTCACTCACTGCAGTTTCTGAAAGCAACACCATGTGTTGTCAAATGCTCCTTAATTTAGGATTTTTTAGATTTTTGGACTAGAAACTCTTAGATAGTGTGTTTTGCAGTGTTCAGTATAGTCATCTGTGTGTTGTTCATGCCCTGACAGGAACTTTCTGCAATGGGACATTTGATGTTTTTGCCTGTTGGCCTCATTCATCTCCTGGGGTCGTCTCTGTACCCTGTCCTCCTTATTTACCCTGGATCAGAGAAGGTCAGATTTAACACTTTTATCTGTTATAATGTCCTGATCAGTCATTATTTCAGTCTTTGCCATGATGGCAGCACATAATATTAGACTGGAAAGTGACATGTAAAGGCTTCACTAGGGTAATGAGGGTAAAGTTAGGGTAATTAGGCAAGTCATTGTATAACAGTGGTTTGTTCTGGAGACAATCCAACACTAATATTGCTGAAGGGGTGAATAATATTGAGCTTAACATGACTTTAACACTATTAAACACTGCTTTATTCTGGCCCAAATAAAACTAACAAGACTTTCTCCAGAAGAACAGATATTAGAGGAAACACTGAGAACAACTGCTGAATCTGAGAAACATCATGAGGGGAACACTGGAGAAAGCAAACTAAATTCACAGGAGGGCGAATGATTCTGTCTTTTAGCTGCACATAAGGCATTATATAAGTAAAACTACACATGGGTGGCTCAGTGGTTAGCACTGTGGCTTCACAGCAAGAAAGTCGCTGGTTCAAGTCCCGTTGGCCCAATAGACCCGCTGTATAATATATTATGATTAATATAATTATAATTGTTGTACAATATATTATAATCAGTACAGCTCAGGATTTTTGACAGAAATGTATTTGACAGAAATATACATTACTTTGCCAACATCTTAAAACTGAAGACTCTTGCATCCAATAGATTTTGTGTATTTAAAGTCTTGTTTGTGCATTTAAAGGGATAGTTCATACAAAAATTAATTTACTCACACTTTACCTTCATTCATTTCTTCTGTTGAACTCAAAGGATGATATCTTGAAGAATGTTTGAAACCGGTAACCATTGACTTCCATTCTATATGTTTCCTACTGTGAAAGTCAATAGTTACCAGTTTCCAACATTCTTCAAAACATCGTCCTTTGTGTTCTACTCATATAGGATTGGAACCTCTTAAGAGAGAGCAAAAATACATTTGTGTGAACTAACCCTATAATTTGATGCAAACACCAAAACCACATTTCCTCCTTGACTCATTTTTGAATTAAATGCACACAAAACATTGACGATGTTGTAATTTTCAGGTGCTACTGGAAACGTCTATAAGGAATGCACCGTCAACGGCACTTGGAAAACTGAGGAGAACTCCTCCAGCGTATGGAGAAATCAGTCAGAGTGCGAAAACCATTATTTTTTCAAGTCCGAGGTGAATATTGCAGCCATACAGTGACGTATGGTGTCCGTCATGGTGTTATTCTTATGCTGATGTCTCTCTGCACGCAGGAGGAAGAGGTGTTCCGGCAGTCTGTGCTGAGAGTGCTGTCCATTGTTGGATATTCGCTGTCGTTTTCTTCTCTGTGTTTGGCTGTTCTGATCATGAGTCTGCTGAGGTGAGGGGAGTTCTGCAGGGCTCGCTCTCGGGTCCGCTTCAGTTTCATTTCAACAAGAAAATGCACAATTGGAGAGAAAGCGACAGAATTAAGAGAGGGGGTGTAAACTTTTGCACAGAAATCAGAGATCAACATTTGCATAAATTAATAAATATATAGACAACGTTTGAAGTGAGTGAAAGTATTTTGAATTTGTCTTAAGACATGGTTGTTTCATCGTTTTACGACAACTTTAATGAAAGGTTTTTGATGTTGACTATATGCTAATATATTAATATGCTAATTATTCAGCAAACATAAGCAAAATATGCCAATTTTGTTGTCTGGTTTATGTGCAAAAGTTGACACCCCTCTTATAATCGCTAATAGGCCAATTTGGCTTTACTCAAACACTAAAAATTATATTTTTTCTGGTCATTTTATCCATAATGATGGATTAAGATTGTTGAAAACCTTTTAAATCTAAAGATTAGGGTAAATTTTATATATTTATGATCCTCTGGGAAGCTAGTATCTTATGTAGCTTCTAACTGTTTGTATTAAATAAGAAAAACTATTAAGAAAACATGAAAATAGTGACTGTGCAAAAGTTTACACCCCCTGGCTTAACACTTTGGGTTCATTTGAACACAAAAAGCCCCAATTTCTCATAACATTTTATCAATAATGATCCGCTAAGAGTGGTGAAATCCTTTTACATGTAAAAATCTGGGTCAATTTAACAAATTTTGTCTTCTAGGAAACATGTAAGTCTCTTCTGTAGCTTCTGAAAAATTGGATTAAATTAAATATTTATGCAAAATATGAAAATGTGGACATTCGTTCTGTGCCAAAGTTTACACCCCTTGGCTCTCAAGACTTTTGGGGTCATTTTGCTTTGATTTAAACACAGAAAATCATAACATTTTATCAATAATGCATTAAAGGATGTGATAATTGTTTTTAAATTTAAAGATCAGGGTATATAACATACTTTGTCTTCTGGGAAGCATGTAAGTATCAGCTGCAGCTACTGAATTGTAATGTTAAGTTAAAAAAAAAGAAGCTATTTAGGAACAATAATAAAAAATGTAAACCTCTTCATTTTGTGAAAGTTTACACCCCTTGGCTCTTATCACTCTTGAGGCCATTTTGGTTTAATTTGAACACCTAAATTCACAATTCCCCATAAATTTTATCCATTACAATGCATTAAAAGTGGTTAAATCCTTTTAAATGTAAAATTCAGGGTAAATTTAACACATTTTGTCTTCTGGGAAACATGAGAGTAATTTATGAAGCTTTATTTAATGATAAAAAAAAAAACCATTTAGACAAAATATGAAAAAATGTCGACATTCTTATTCTGTGCAAAAGTTTTCACCCCCTTTAACGTTTTTGGGGCCAATTCAGCTCAACTTAAACACGTCAAAAACGACAACTTCTCTCATCCTATAATCCAGAATCTATCTGGGGAGTGCCGTTGACTCATTTACAATGCATTGGTTCTCTGATGAATCGCCCCTGTTCGCTTTGCTTACATTTAACCAATGTTCTCTGCCACGGCACTTACATAATTAGATTGATTTTCCAGCATGCGTCTCCAAGCTTCGCTGTTTATCGATCTGATAGATTCATTTCTGTTACTCCGTCTCTGGCTCCAGATACCTGATATGCTCATGTTATTTATAGTCGCAAAGCAATGAATGTGCTTTACCTGTTGTTGTTTTCAGGAAGCTTCACTGTACGAGGAACTACATCCACATCAATCTCTTTGTATCGTTCATGTTCAGAGCAATAGCAGTGATCACTAAAGAGGTTATATTACAAGTCGCCTACTCTAACCTGCCCCGGGACGAAGTGGGATGGAACAGCTACACCAAATCTGCGGTACAGAAACATTCGGTTATGCTCATTTTATCTGTTTAACCCTTGTGTGTGTTCACATTGACTCCCCCTTGGTGATGTTGGGGCTGTTTTTGCCCAATTGACTTCCATTGTAATCACATTTACAATCACAAAGCCATGGCAGCAAATAATACAAGTCTTGTCGAAGTCCAAGTTTTAGGAAGAACAAATATTAACTTGACTTCTAATGGAAGCCAACGGGTCAAAAACAGCACCAACATCACCAAAGGGGAGTCAATCTGTCCAGAGTGTGTTGATGAGATTTTGATCATTTCATAAAGCGTTTTCCCAATATATGTGTCAGAATAAGATCAGTCAGCAGAAATCATCACAGTTGTTGAAACACAGAGAAGGCTGTGGTCAAATGAAGCCTCACAATCAGCCCAGGGAGGATGAAAACGACCCAACAGCACTCTAGGGTTGTTACTGAGACTGCTCTTGTTCTCCAGATCTCCTTCATCTGCAAGGCGTCGAAGGTTTCTCTGGAGTATTTTGTGGGCTGTAATTATTTCTGGCTGTTGGTGGAGGCCGTGTTCCTGCACACGCTGCTGTTCACCGCCGTCCTCACCAGGAAAACTCTGCTGAAGAAGTACATCTTCATCGGGTGGGGTGAGGACGAGCATTCATACTGTGCACTCCACAAATGAGGACAGCAGGTCTTACTTTTAGTGTGTGTGTGTGTGTGTGTGTGTGTGTGTGTGTGTGTTCAATTTGTTCTGTGTGTATGTTCAACCCCACAGCCACATCAGTTAACAGCCCTGAGCAGGGCTGAGTGGGGTCAGTGTCTGGGTGGGAGAGCACATGGGAACACTAGGCTGCTGTTGGCAGTGGTGTTAGTGAGGCCAGCAGGGGGCGCTTAACCTGCGGTTTGTGTCAGTCCTAATGCCCCAGCCCATCATGGCTCCCAATCATCCCCATCCACTGAACTGGCTCCATCACGGTCTCTCCACTCCACCTATAGCTGGTGTGTGGTGAAGTGCTGGCACTGCTGCACACTGGTGGTGGTGTGGAGAGTTCCCCAACGTGTGTGTGTGTGTGTGTGTGTGTGTGTGTGTGTGTGTGTGTGTGTGTGTGTCTGTCTGTCTGTCTGTCTGTCTTGTGTGTCATGTTTTCAGTGTGTGTGTGTGTGTGTGTGTGTGTGTGTGTGTGTGGGTGTGTCTGTCATGTGTGTCTGTCTGTCATGTGTGTCATGTTTTCAGTGTGTGTGTGTGTGTGTGTGTGTGTGTGTGTGTCTGTCATGTGTGTCTGTCTGTCATGTGTGTCATGTTTTCAGTGTGTGTGTGTGTGTGTGTGTGTGTCTGTCATGTGTGTCTTTCTGTCTGTCATGTGTGTCATGTTTTCAGTGTGTGTGTGTGTGTGTGTCATGTGAGCAAACACTTATTGTTATGGATATAACTGTTTAATAAACGGTTCAGTTTAAACACACCAGGATCCATATTCTATATTGACAGAGAGCTGGGTCATTTTCAGAAGGCGTGTGTGTTGGTTTATGCTGAGCGCTGTTTGTATCATGTTCATCATTTATAAAAGTCGTCATATTTATTCTTCATTATTCTGCATCTTCAGGAACTCCTCTACTGTTCGTGATTCCCTGGACTGTCGCCAAAACACTGTATGAAAATAAAAGGTGTGTGTGTCTGATGTACTTTTGCTCATGATAAAGAAAATCAGACCATATTCATTCATTCATTTATTTAATTATTTAATTGTTTAACCAGGAATGTCCCATTGAGATACAATATCTGTTCTTCCAGGGAGTCCTGGTCAAGACAGGCAGCGTAGGACAAATTTATGAAACAAAATAAAAAATAAATATAATTATAATAATAATAATAATAATAATAATAATAAATACACGTCACAAAGACGCACAAAAATAGTATAAACCATAATGACCATCTTGACAATAATACGTCTCCATAATTACTCATATCCACTGTTATTATTATTGTTATTATTACTAATATTATTATTATTGTGTGTGTGTGTGTGTGTGTGTGTGTGTGTGTGTGTGTGTGTGTGTGTGTGTGTGTGTGTGTGTGTGTGTGTGTGTGTGTGTGTGTGTGTGTGTGTGTGTGTGTGTGTGTGTGTAATAATGTGTTGTGTGTTTAAAGCTGTTGGATGAATAACATCCGCTGGATCTGGTGGATCATCAGAGGCCCGATCACACTATCAGTGATTGTGAGTGTTTTCCTCTTTGTTCAGTGTTTGTGTACGTGTGTGTGTACATTTGTGTGTATGATTGTTTTCCTCTGTTCAGTGTGTGTGTGTCATGTGTTCAGTGTGTACGTGTGATTTTAAGCGTGTGTGTGTGTGTGTGTGTGTGTGTGTAATGCTGATTTCTCAGTGTTTCCTCGTGCCATCTCATCTCATGCTGCTCATGAGGACAGAAAACACCATCAGACCCTTCATATCTCAGAGGAAACTATTGTGTGATAAACCTACATATCAAACCATAATTAATTATTTTGTTAATAATTAAAATACATATATATAGTGTGTGTGTGTGTGTGTGTGTGTGTGTGTGTGTGTGTGTGTGTGTGTGTGTGTGTGTGTGTGTGTGAGATCAAAACCTGATCACTTTTTCATCTTGGAATTGTATCAATTTATTTAATTTTACTTATATCATATTGTTTTGATGTTGAATTAAAAAAACAATCAATTAAATAAATAAATTAAATAAATAAATATTTTTTAATCAATTTGGACATTTTTGCCCAGCTAATTGTTTTTTCCTAATTTTTGTCAATATTAAAGGAAATATATTTTTGCATCACGTTTGTCCTTTATTTGTAATTTTTAAGCTTAATTTTTTTTTTTACTCAAATCTGTAATAAAAAATGCAGTAAACGCAGTAAATTATTAAATGCAGTGATTCATTCATTTATTCACTTTCCTTCAGCTTAGTCCCTTTATTCATCAGGGGTCACCACAGTGGAATGAACCGCCAACTATTCCAGCACATGTTTTACACAGCTGATGCCCTTCCAGCTGCAACCCAGTACTGGGAAACACCTATACACTCATTCACACACACACACACACACACACACTTATACACTACGGCCAGTTTAGTTGATCTGTTCCCCTATAGCGCATGTGAACACCAACTGACCCAGCCAAGACTCAAACCAGAGACCTTCTTGCTGTGAGGCCACAATGCGACACCACTGGACACTGTTCGTCCCCTAAATGCAGCAATACCATACTAAAAATATAACATCACTCAAAAATAGTACGTTATGTACATCATTTTGCACAATATTACAAATTAATCTTAGTCATCTCAAACAAATTGAACACATTTGTCACAATTCTGATTGATTGATTGATTGATTGATTGATTGATTGATTGATTGATCTATTGATTTGATCAGTCTCCGTCTGTCTTCCAGGTAATCTTCTGCATTTTTCTGAAGATCATCAGACTGTTGTTGTCCAAGTTAAAGGCCGACCAGGTGAAGTTCACCGACTACAGATACAGGTGAGTGTCTGCTGTTTCTGCTGCTGCAGTGTTCATTAAGCCGATGCTCAACGTGTGTGTTCTGCAGTTTAGCTCGAGCCACACTGGTGTTGATTCCTCTGCTGGGCGTCCACGCAGATCGTCTTCACCCTGATTATTGATGAATCAGTGGAGGGAAGCAACCGATACGCTCGAAACTTCGTCCATCTGACCCTCAGCTCCTTCCAGGTCGCAGATCTCAGGCTTTTCTTGACCTCCTGCAGGTTGAACTGCTTAAACGCCTCTAACAGGAGCGAAACCTCTGTGTTTTTCAGGGTCTGATAGTTGCGGTGCTGTACTGCTTCGCTAATGGAGAGGTACGCTGTCAGGATTATGTAAAACATTACCATAGAAACCTACTTTATATAAATACACAACCCATATAAACATTCACATACACATCTGCTAATTGAGTAAGTGTGCATGTAAATATGACGGTAATTGTGCTGCAGGTGCAGGCGGAGCTGAAGAAGCGCTGGCAGCTCTTGGTTTCCTCCAGTAGCTTCGAGGTTCACAGCTGTTTCTCAGACATTCACCCGAAACACCTGTGGAAGTTCTCACAGAAGAGTCCTAGGCCACACCCACAACACACAGACACCAATGAGGAGGGAGACCAGGACACCTCACAGCCACACCCACTGCAGCTCGACCAATCAGCAGAGGCGGTGGCCTGTGGGCGGAGCTCGGGCCTGGAGCTGTACATGAGGAAGAGTCTGTCCAGCAGTGACGGAGAAATGACTTTAGGAGAAACCATGGAGGAGATCATCGAGGAGAGCGAGTTCTAGGGTGAATATTTATACTGCAGCACTGTAAATGGCCTTGGTACCTGGCTTTTGTACATATGTGTATAATGTAATGTGATGCCATGAAGGAGCTCAACAATTTAAGCTTAGAAAGGTCATAATTGCTCAAGTTATCCCCAGCTAAACCAGCCCACGTGAACATAAATGCTTTACTAGTTTAGAGTAAATACTGTTTTGATCAATCCTATAGTAAAGTGTATTATACTGTATATAGTATTAATCTGCAGCCTACTGTAGTATTAACTTGTGTTTCAGTAGCAACTATAGAATCCAATAATATCCATCTGCAGACCCACAAACGTTTCAGGCACACACGATCCAGACAAACCATACAAGGTTATGACGGATGTTAATGTTGTTAACGTCTTCTCGGACATTTTCATATATATTTTCAATAAATATTGTACACAATAAGCACAGATTTATTCACAAATAAATCGATCCCTCCGTTAGACCACCTTGGTCCCACATTCATTTCGAAGGAGTGCTACCCTGTACTAAAATGGCGGCTCTGTTATCACATTCCTTCTAAAAGATACTAATAGCGTGGGCAACATCTAATGTAAATATCGATGGCAGATCAATTACTATAGTTAATGTGTTTCCATAGCAACTGTAGAATCACAGCAACAGATCAGTTATTGTAGTTATTTTGTTACCTTATCAACTGTGAAATCACCACAGCAGAATAATTACTGTAGTTGTTGTTACCATAGCAACTGTAGAATTACCATAACTGATTAATTACTGTAGTTGTTACCATAGCAACTGTGGAATCACCACAGCAGATAAATTTCTGTAGTTGTTGTTACCATAGCAACTGTGGAATCACCACAGCAGATTGATTACTGTAGTTGCTGTGTTACCATAGCAACTGTGGAATCACCACCACAGATTAATTTCTGTAGTTGTTGTTGTGGTTACCATAGCAACTGTGGAATCACCACCACAGATTAATTTCTGTAGTTGTTGTTGTGTTACCATAGCAACTGTGGAATCATCACAACTGACTAATTACTGTAGTTGTTGTTGTTGTGACCATAGCAACTGTATAATCACCACAACTAATTAATTATTGTAGTTGTTGTGTTGCCATAGCAACTGTAGAATCACCACAACTGATTAATTATTGTAGTTGTTGTGTTACCGTGGCAACTATAGAATCACCACAGCAGATGACGCTTCTAGACACTTCTAGAACCCCAAGTATGCAATTTTAACTGGATTTTATATGGGACACCAAATGATTATAGTGGTGACTCAAAATCCAAACATAAACCAACAGTTATAAAGTCATAAAGGGCTTCAAACACTGAAACACTAATGTTAAAACGTATTAATGTGATTCCACAGCATGCTAAACTGTTCATGTTTCAAATTATTTCCTACATTTTACAGCCAACACGTCCCAGGTGAGAGATCCTGTTTTAAACTCATTCACTATTTAATCTGCATTATGGAGAATTTATTTATTAGGATTAACTCCTTGAGATTTCAGAGGGGGTTAAACAATATATCATAACATAACAAAACAATACAAATGAACATAACTACTGTCTGTTTAAGGGCGCTTTATGTAAGGGTGTTCATGTATTAATGGCTTTTTATTGCCGATGTGTGAACAGCTTGTAATGAACTTTCCAAACAAGACCATGCTATGCTGTCTTGTAGACTGATTTTAATGTGCAAGACTCTGGAGAATCAAAAGAATGAATCAGAGTCATTCTGTACTGTAATTGGCACAGGTAGACATTAATTAAACTCAATGTTATTAGCATTACTTCCGGCCGTAGCTGTATCCCTTCTAGCTGCAAACCTGCATTAGAGCAGCTAACTGCAGTATTGGTAACCTAGCAACCAACAATAAACAAGGCCAGCGTAACGGAGTGAAATGTTCGCTTCGTCAGGGTTTATTCGGCATCTCCATCTAACGTTATTTGTAATGACCAAATTCATAAAAACCACCCCAATTGAGTGTAAAAATCCTTTTTTATTTCAAATGTAATAATTTTTCATGCGAGTCTTCAAAATGCACATTAAAACATGCTGATGGTAATCCAGATATTGTATATTTACTTTGCATTCGAGTCTCCCATGGGAAAATGAACCCTAGGCTTCTTCATTTTAGAGGTCGAACTGTGTATAAGCTTCATAGTGTAGCACGAATACTACACACCAGAGTAACAGCAGCACTAGTAGAATAGTAAACCGGTGTGCATGACTGTTACATTCTTGAGGAAATGATTTATATGCATTCATTTGCATGTGATGTCACTCACATGATGGTGATGATTGTGAACAGAAGTCACTGTGTTTTTGGTGTCAGTGTGTTTCATGGTATCCTAAAGACACAGTTCACCCAAAATATGACAATGACATTACTACTAAACCTATAAGAGTTTCTTTCTGCTGTTGAATACAAATGAAGATATTCTGAAGAACGCTGGAATTAAAAACAGCTTCCATAGGAGGAACAAAAGAGTACAACTGAAGTCAATGGCAGTTTTTTCCCAGTATTCTTCAATATGCAAACTCGAGTAAGATGGGTTAGTAAGAAGTACTAACACTCCTGAAGTAATATGACAGATTTTTATTTCTGAGGTGAACTGTCTCTTTAAATCAGATGCATTTATGTTGGTGTTTGGAGTTGTAAGTGTCTGTCATGTTTAATGTTTTATACTGCATGTTGGCGGTAATAAAGAATATTTTTGTATGTTGAATTGCAGAAATCACTGTGTCTTCTCTTTGAGTTTTTCTTGCACTTTCTGTGGTTTGTCGAACTGAATGAGACGGAGGATGTGTTTGTTGTCCATCACTCCCTGAATGAACTCGCCCTCCGTTATTTTACCTGATGGAAAAAAGAGAAACATTATTAAGAAATTGTCTGGTAACACTTTAGTTTCAGTACCAATTCTCAATATTAACTAGTATCTTTTTATTATTAGCCTGTTATTAAGATGTTGGCTGTTTATTAGTAATTAAACTAAATTACACAATTTTAAGAACATTTTCTGCATGGTTTTATTCTACATCACTAATCCCACCCCACACATACACTAATATCTATTAAGAATTAATTAATAAGCAGCAAATGAGCAGCTTATTGAGCTAAAAGTCATAATTAATGGCAGCTTACCATTTTCTTTTTTCCCAAAAAAGTCCCATATTTTGTCAGTTCGTTTTTCTGGCGTGTTCTCGTCGTCAGGAAGGTTTTTCTGGTCTTCTTTGGAGATCATGTTGAATATTGACTGCAGAGAAGAGAAAATGAGAATGGACTAATAATGGGCTTCATCATTTATTCACAATTTGTATATGATTATGAGGGAAAAAATAAATCTCAAAAGTTATATAAATAAATGAATATATATAAAACTGCATGACATTTATTAGTCAATAATTCCTTTTAAACAACAATAATCCCCCTATGGCGTTACTATAGCAACTGTAGAATCACAACATATCAATTACTAAAGCTCATGTTACCATAGCAACTATAAAATGACCACAACATATTAATTACCATAACTGCCATGTTGCCATAGCAACTATAGAATGACCACAACATATCAATTACTATAGTTACCATGTTGCCATAGCAACTGTAGAATCACCACATCATATAAATTTCTAGTTACCGTTTTGCCATAGCAACTATGAAATGACAGCATTTCAATTACTATAGTCGCCATGTTGCCATAGCAACTAATAGTATGACCACAACATACCAATTACTATAGTTACCATGTTGCCATAGCAACTGTAGAATCACCACACCATATAAATTAATATAGTTACCGTGTTGCCATAGCAACTATGGAATGACCACAACATTTCAATTACAATAGTCGCTGTGTTGCCATAGCAACTATAAAATGACTGCAACATATCAATTACTATAGTCGCCGAGTTGCCATAGCAACTATAGAATGACCGCAACAAATCAATTATTATAGTCGCCATGTTGCCATAGCAACTATAAAATGACTACAACATATCAATTACTATAGTTACCATGTCGCCATAGCAACTATAGAATGACCACAACATGTCAATTACTATAGTTACCATGTTGCCATAGCAACTATAGAATGACCACAACATGTCAATTACTATAGTTAACATGTTGCCATAGCAACTATAGAATGACCACAACATGTCAATTACTATAGTTAACATGTTGCCATAGCAACTGTAGAATCAGCACACCATATAAACTACTAGTTACCGTGTTGACATAGCAACTATGGAATGACCACAACATTTCAATTATTAGTCGCCG